TATCATATCGATGTAGGTAACACCCAGTATGTAGTATCATATCAATGTAGGTAACACCCAGTATGTAGTATCATATCAATGTAGGTAACACCCAGTATGTAGTATCATATCGATGTAGTTAGCACCCTGTATGTAGTATCATATCGCTGTAGGTAACACCTAGTATGTAGTATCATATCGATGTAATCAACACCCAGTATGTAGTATCATATCGATGTAGGTAACACCCAGTATGTAGTGTCATATCGCTGTAGGTAACACCCAGTATCTTGTATCATATCGATGTAGGTAACATTCAGTATATAGTATCATATCGATGTAGGTAACACCCAGTATGTAGTATCATATCGATGTAGGTAACACCCTGTATGTAGTATCATATCGCTGTAGGTAACACTCAGTATGTAGTATCATATCGATGTAGGTAACATTCAGTGTGTAGTATCATATCGATGTAGGTAACACCCAGTATGTAGTGTCATATCGATGTAGGTAACACTCAGTATGTAGTATCATATCGATGTAGGTAACATTCAGTATGTAGTATCATATCGATGTAGGTAACACCCAGTATGTAGTATATATCGATGTAGGTAACACCCAGTATGTAGTATCATATCGATGTAGGTAACACCCAGTATCTTGTATCATATCGATGTAGGTAACACCCAGTATGTAGTATCATATCGATGTAGGTAACACCCGGTATGTAGTATCATATCGATGTAGGTAACATTCAGTATGTAGTATCATATCGATGTAGGTAACATTCAGTATGTAGTATCATATCGATGTAGGTAACACCCTGTATGTAGTATCATATCGATGTAGGTAACATTCAGTATGTAGTATCATATCGATGTAGGTAACACCCGGTATGTAGTATCATATCGATGTAGGTAACACTCAGTATGTAGTATCATATCGATGTTGGTAACATTCAGTATATAGTATTATATCGATGTAGGTAACACCCGGTATGTAGTATCATATCGATGTAGGTAACACCCAGTATCTTGTATCACATCGATGTAGGTAACACCCAGTATGTAGTATCACATCGATGTAGGTAACACCCAGTATGTAGTATCATATCGATGTAGGTAACACCAAGTATGTAGTATCATATCGATGTAGGTAGCACCCTGTATGTAGTATCATATCGATGTAGGTAACGTCCAGTATGTAGTATCATATCGATGTAGGTAACACCCAGTATCTTGTATCATATCGATGTAGGTAACACCCAGTATGTAGTATTGGAAGAGAAGTAAGAGTCCTAAGCCCCTGTAAATAAACTTTGTTTGTAATACATAAGTGTAAAGTAAAAATAAAAATAAAAACTTTGTTAGTATTCAAACAAAATACAATTTCAAAAACAGTCGCTTTGATTTTGAACTTGTAAATATTTAATTCACAGTCTAAATTTTAAGAAACTTCTAATATAAATGTTGTTAATTTAATTCATACAAAAGTTTATGAAGTAGCTTTAAATCTGCAGTGTACAAACAGCTAGACATGTACACGAATGAGATTTAATGTACAACCCGCAGACAGCCTTCACAGAATTCCCAGTTACTAAAATGTTAAAGTCAATGGAATTAAATAAAATTACATTTCTTATGGACCTTCGAAGCATTATATTCTGATTAGTAATTAAATTTTAGAAAAATTAATCAAATCCACGTCGGCTGTTAGATCGTAGAACAAACGGCTACCTCCAAACCTTAACACCCGCGAAGCTGCCAGTGTCCACGGTGCTTCTAACAGTGTAGACGTATAGTAGTCTACTTCTTATCCACCCTGACGATTGCTCACTTCTCTCCTGCTCTTTTCACTGAAACACATACGCTACTTCCCTTACCGGAGTTTGCTTAGCTTCACTGCTTTGGTGTTAACCTTGTCTTCCTCTCGTCAGGTTTTTCCCCCACGTGAATATTCTCTACGCAGCCCTAGCACATCTAACAAGAGGAGAGGGTCACCGCTGCCATTTTGTTACAGATAAAGGGCACGCCCCACTGTTGCTTTTGGTGGCTAGTTAGGCTTACGCCTGGACAGACGTAATCTTCGTGCCATGAGATGTGGAGAGACAATAATAAACCTCCCGGAAAACAGCGGCTTTCCGAAAGATTTCCAAGACATGCTTTGAATAGTTTCAAAGTTTGTAGGTTTTAAAATCTGCAAATTCTTCATGACTAATGACTCGGAAAAAATATTAATCTAGTACTTCAACTTTCTAAGGGAAGAGATTCTTCATCTTATTTTGGTGATTGCCAAGGGGTTTTTAAAACAAATCTCTTCTAATCTAGTGCTTGAACAGTATATATTTACACTGATTTCTTGAAAATTTCTAATAGCAAACAGTTAAATATGGCTAATTTTAATAGAGTTTAGTTACTTCAAAATGTCTAAAAGTGTTTTGTTCATTAACTAATTCGCAAACATTGTTCGGTGTTAACTCGCGAGTTTTAAGGAAGAAAGAAATAATGATGTCACCAAAAAGTCACCCTAAAGACGGCAGTACGACGGTCTGGAAGGAGGTCGTGATGAGGGTACGTCGAACAATTAAAGTTTATGTTTAGATTTTGATTTAATAAAATATGTTTTAGATATTTGAATAGCTGAAACAAGTTATAAGTTTACATTGATCCAACTTTTTAAGATTTATACTTATAAATATTAATAAGACAAATATTTTTTAAGCTTTAGAATTAAGTTTAAATGTATTTTGTTTGTTTAGTTTGTTTGAAAGTGTTAGCAAAACTCTAAAAGGAAATTTTAAGGTAACATTAGTTTCCATCTTTCGAATTAATTAATTAATTACTTGTCTGGCATTAATAACTATATTCAAGGCTGTCTTTTTTCGTAAAGCTACTCTTATAAAATAAAGGAACACCATTAAACGCCTTTATTTGTATAGAAACGTACACCGTATTATACTTTAGGTTAAATGGTGATACAAATTTCTGTAATTTTTGGTTGACTACAACAACAATTAACTATTAACTATGTAAGTATCTGGTTTATATATAATTATGTTGGACGGTTGAATATACTTTTATAGAAATTTGTAAACGTATATTTAACTATCTAGAGTTTTACCACAACTTACATATAAACTGAATATTATTACACTCCACGCGACCTTGTACTGTCATCTCTAGGTGATGTTTTAAACTCATAAGAAAGTCGTAGTAATTTAAGGGCGACATGAAGCGTATTTGAATAGAAACGAAACTTAAAGTTTCACTGAATACTAAAAATCAAACCTAATAATATGAAATCGCACGGGTTTATATGCAGCGGAAGCTTTATCTCTGTTTCATTCTCGGCAGCAATCTTACAACTGTATGAAATAAGAACTGCGGAAATTGACATAATAAGTCATCATCTACTTCCCTATCTGGTAAAACATTGGAGCTTTAAATACAAAAGTTGACATAATACATCGTCTAGGTCCCTATCTGGTAAAACATAGGAGCTTTAAATACAAAAGTTGACATAATACATCGTCTACTTCCCTATCTGGTAAAACATTGGAGCTTTAAATACAAAAGTTGACATAATACATCGTCTAGGTCCGTTTCTGGTAAAACATTGGAGCTTTAAATACAAAAGTTGACATAATACATCGTCTAGGTCCGTATCTGGTAAAACATTGGAGCTTTAAATACAAAAGTTGACATAATACATCGTCTAGGTCCCTATCTGGTAAAATATTGGAGCTTTAAATACAAAAATGATGTAGGTAGCAGGAGTGCATGTAAAATTAGAATGATTAGAATAGTATAAAATGGAGAAACACAGTTAAGACTTGTACTTGTGCTTGTTTTGTGCTTGACTAATGACGGAGTTTTAATTACAAATGGTCAGTTGTTCGTATCGAATTTTTTAATGACAAATATGTGATTGTTGGAACAGTAATGAAAAATTCATAAAAAGTAAAGCACGCATAAAATCTTAATGAACACTAAGAACGAAAATTTATTTTCATTATTTACTTGAATGCGTGAAAAATGCTTTTCTAAATATCGTGAGTTTGGTTCAGGTTTCCTTATCAAGCAGTATAGAAAACTAACTAAGCCATGGTGTGAGATAGATGCTAGAAGAAACCGCCCAGGTTCTACATAAATAGTGTTAGTTTTCGTGTACTTCATACTTTAAGTTTGCGTATTTGTAGGCATATTTATCTTTTTATATTATTTCTTTTATGGTTATGAAATAAGTTCTGAACGTTACCTGTTTCATATCAATCTGTACACCACTTTTAACTAGAAAGAATCTCTTCGTTTCGAAGACATTTGCTAATTGAGTCAACAAGTGCTTTGAGTAGTTATTGTTATGCTTTAATGTTTTACTAACCAATCTTGCATTATATAACTGCTCAAGATCAACTACCGTTAATTTTGTTTAGAGAAGAAAAGTTAAGAAACCATTCAGTTGTACCTCTATTTTAAGTTTGTTGCAATGACAGTTTCAGTAATACAAACGCTTTTAACGTCTTGCTTGTGTTTATCCTACACCTCGCATGATCAGAAACTAGCTAACTAATGGGTTAAGGCCATTTGTTAAGTGTTAGAAGCTAATACCCAATGGGTTAAGATAATTTGTTATGAGATCAGAAACAAACAGCCAATGGGTTAAAGATCATTTGTTTAGAACGTATCTAAACATACTGAATCTTCATCAAGTAAACTCGTCTCTAAACCATTTTGAGAGCTATTGAAGACCTATGATCGATTTTTGTTAACATTCTGCAGGCCATTTTAAGGATTTGAATATCCTTTGTTTAGACATTTTCATTCGGTTATTTGTGTTCATTCCAGACACGTGTTTACTGTGTTCCTGTACCTAGAAACAAAACGTTAACGTAGACCGTTGTGCTGTGTAATTCTTAGTATCAAAGGAGATAATATATGTACATGAGTTCGAAACCTTACAATAAGTTTTCTGTTATATATCAAGCATATTTCGAAAGCACTTGTTTACTGTGTTCCTATACCTAGAAACAAAACGTTAACGTAGACCGTTGTGCTGTGTAATTCTTAGTATCAAAGGAGATAATATATGTACATGAGTTCGAAACCTTACAATAAGTTTTCTGTTATATATCAAGCATATTTCGAAAGCACTTGTTTGTAAATATATCTTTTGGTTTTATAAGTAATTATGCAAACGTATCCATTGGAAAATAACGAAGATGCAAAATTTCAGTACGTTAATCCAATCTGTGAGTTAACATTTATCATGTAATGAAAAGTGATCAGAGCATATCCCGAAGGAACTAATATTACGCTTAACTGAAATTTGATTGAACTCGTGTTAATGCATAGAACTGCGTATTGTAAATTAACTGGGAATTATACAGTTGCAGTATATGCGGAGAATTACTGGTATATTTAACTTTGGTCTTTCTATAGTGAGTTAACTATGAAAGATTGCATTAGCAACATTTCGCTTTACAAAAATAGTAAATCAAAATAATCACATGTAATATTAGAAGAATTTTTTTTTTTAAATTTCCATAGTGTAGGTTTACTATGTGGTGATCAAGGTTTCAGCACTATACATGTTTAGAATGTGAATGTATACGTATACTAATGTGAGGGTATCTTGATGGTCATGGTTTTATCATTATAGAATTTTCCACTGTGGGTGAATGGCTGCATCAATGTGATGGTGTAAAGTTACTTTATAACGTAAGTTTACAGTATGTTAGCCAAGGTTTTATCATTATGGAAATTTACAGTGTGAAAAGAATGCCTACATCATTGTGGTGTAAGGTTACACTCAAGACATAGGTTTACAGTTGGTGGTAAATATTTCACCGTAAATGTGTCATTACGCTAGTATGATGACGTAAAGCGTAAAGTAAGTTTAGAATAATATGTGTCATGTTACATTTCAGATGATATAACAATTTCATCATTAGAGTATCGATCTCACCACAGAACGTCTAGCAACATATTGAGAACCCTACAAGGAAAACATGTGACTTATGATCCTGTCTAAATGATAAACTGGGTTACGTTTCTGAGAGGATTCATCTCGCGTCCGATCTAAAATATAAACAAATTAACTTATTGTTCACTTCCGTCATTTGGTAGGCCTAAAATTACAATTTCAGTTATAAACAACAAACAGTGTGATAATACCAGCTAAGACGCATTTGGAATCACTATAAACTGTAGTTTCCATAGATACGTGGAATTGTGTGTGTGTGTGCGTGGACACAGGTTCAATTTCACCCACTTTTTTTCTAATCAATACAAAAATGTTCACTTTTGCAATTTAATATTTATCAGTTTTAGCGTTAGATTTACGTTACATAAGACTACGCATGTTGACTTAAAAACTAAAATCTCCTTTTAAGTAAAGCTTGGGTTCTCAATATAAATAATACTCGGGTTTTATCTTTTTATACAGAAATTTGTGCATCATCCTTTGATTTTTTCCATAATTATAATTCAGTTTGACATTGTAGACACAATTCATGATCTTAACATTCATACCATTAAGGTTATCGTTGTTGGAATATTTTCACTTTCTAAGAATGATATAAGTTGAAGTTTTTAATACAATACAGTAATCCCAAACCCCTTGTGGCAATAAACTAGATTTTAGAATTGGATGGATTTGGCGATGGAGTGAAGCGTGTGGCAAGTGGGGTAGGAACATCACAAACAAGACGTTTGAAGATATGAAGTTACATTCTTCATTTTAAAGTATCTTCTTTAATTTCCTTTAATTATTATAATATAAACAATATGAGAGAAATAAAGACTAAATACAACAAATAAGAAGTGCATCTCTTTCTTCTACAAATTCAAACCTCAATTTGACCAGCATTCCATCTCTCTATTTAGTCATTCCTCTAGTGAGTCTCTTACAAAGGGTAAGAAATGTTTTGTTTCTAATCTGATGATTTTAAATAAGAAGCAAATATAAACCATTACATGGGTTAAAAACCCTCGCATTTAACTAATAAGTGACACCAAACTCATTTAAACATTTTCCTAGTTGGTCGAATGGCCTGTTAAGATCAAGCCTAAAACAGTGTCAGGAAACTTTTCTTTCTCTATTTACAGGTTAGAATTAGTAGGCACAAAAATGCATACGCTTTGTTGGTAAATAAACATAAGAAAAAGAGTATTGTGAACTTGTAGACTAAAGAAATTTCCTCTCTTGACCAATAATCGAAAAGACATTTTATCAAAAGTAAAACATACGCAGATTTATTTTATATTATAGAAAGACATAAACTTTGAAAATCTGTCATTTTCTTGTAGTGAAGTTACACCATATTCTACTAACTTATTTATAAACAATTAGTTATTTTCTTCTCAAGAGACATCGTTTTGCCGATTCCAGCTATTTTCACATAAGTGTTTGTTTCACCAATGTCAAACTATTCACAGGTTTCATAATACACTTGAAACATATTTTTGTTTATATGGCTTAGACAGACATTGTCGTAGTTTTCTGCCTGAAACGCAAACTGACATGATTAATTCGTTTGAAACTCCGTGGCCACTTTCTGCCAAATTAGATA